GGATGAGTTGCCCGCGGGGGTGGCGGCCAGCTGTTTAGCCTCCATCTGGGCGAGCCTTCGCTCGAGTTGGGCGATCACCTCGTCCCTGGGGTCCATGGCGGCCGTAGTAGCGCCCTGCGTCTGCAAGCAGGCTGCATGAGCTGTGTTGATTTGGTGACGGGCATCATCCTCATGCAGTTTCCCCTTGCCTTTGTCCAGGCGGGGCCAATCCGCTCTCCGGGATACTGACCCCAAGCTTTCCCTGGGTGAGCCAGGCTCACGCTGACCAATCTGCCCCGTCATCCTCTCCGAAGCAGGCCGATGACACGTGTCACCTAGCCTGTTAAATGCTGAGGCTTTTCCACGCGCTGGGGTTGGTCCAGCTCGAAGCGGGGAAGCAGGGTGGGAGTGGGACGACGTCGTGTCCTGGGGCACCACCCCCTCATCGTTGCCTAACCTAACGGCTAATGGCTGGGGTTGAGGAGGCGGCGTCGTGTTTTCCCCCGTCTTTGGCATGAGCGCGCTGAGGACGGTGAGGTTCTGGGCCAGACTGGCGATGATGGCCGAGAGTGCGGCCTGAAGTTGAGGGTCAACAGCAGGAGAGGCCTGTTGCGCCGAGGCGTTGTCGCCTTTTTCTGCGCGCTTCTTGTCTAGGCCAATGCAGTCGTTTGGGCCACCGCCGTTAAGCTTGTTGCACAGGTCAGTCGTGAGGTCGATGGCTTCCTGGAAGACATCCCCCCCGGTGGCCTGGTCGGCCGTAGCATCCTCCTCCTGTTCCCGGTTCTCTTGTGCCTTAGGGATGGCTTTGCCGAGGAGGTTGCGGTTAGACTTAGTTCTTCCCATTGTCAATTAACTGCGCTTGGTGATGACGAAGGAGGCTAACTTGATTGTTCTAGCTCTCAATGAAAGCACCAAATGATAGAGTATAAGTTTAGAGAGAAGGGAGAGCTAGAGAGAGAAGTGTTATAATTGCTTTGTATTAATGATTTGTCCACCCCTACAACTACTCCCAAAGGGAGTATTTATAGAAAAAATTAGGGCTGGGCTCCCAAGTCTTGGGCATGGGAGGCCCATTTACAATAGGGCCACTAATGGACCGGATAAAAGGTGTGTAAGAATGATTAAGTGTAAGATCCTGTTCTGGAGGCTGTCTGTGGCCGATGAGGGCACGACCGACGAAGACCCGACCGACGAGGTCACCCGGCTTTCCTGGCTTTTGGATCACATTCTGAGTAGACTTCTTTCTGGCCGATGGGGGTCACCTGGTTGACGAGGGTCCCACTAGGTGGTTGTGGTACCTTCTGTTCTTCCGGGTATGTGGGCCCTGGGGTCCAGGCCCATATACTCCATCAGAAACCAACTAGGCACATGATAGTGGAAGAACAAGTAGCTATTTCTCTACTAGTATTATCTCACCATCAGAAGAATAGAACATTAATAACTTCATTTCAAAGATCAGGGAGGACAATTAGCAAATGCTTTGCTAATGTGATACAATCAATTTTGCGACTCCATTCCCTTTTATATGCTAAACCGCAACCAATAACAACATAATGCAGTGACTATAAGTGGAGCATATTTCAGGTGCTAAAATGAATTGTTATATTTATCATTATGCATATAATTGTTGTAATTTTTGTTTTAATATAACTATGGTATGACGTTTCAGAACTGCGTCGATGCACTTGATGGGACTTATATTAATGTGCATGTACCTCCAAAAGACCATAATCGTTTTCGGTCCTGAAAAGGAGATATTGCTACAAATGTCCTTGGTGTGTGTAATCCTCAAATGCAATTCATCTATATGTTTCCTGGATGGGAGGGATCAGCTGCAGATGGTAGAGTTTTGAGAGATGCTCTCACAAGAAGATTTCGAGTTCCACAAGGTGTGTATGTATATGTCTCTTTTTCTATAAAATTCATAAAACAATGAAAATTAAACATGAGTGCAAGGCCCTTGTATTGACAAGATGTTACTACTTGGTTGATGGTGGTTATGCAAACTGTGAAGGCTTTCTTGCACCTTACAGAGGCCAGAGATACCATTTATCTGAATGGGAGAACAATCACAATCCTCATAACGCGAAAGAATATTTCAATATGAAGCATTCCCAAGCTAGAAATATCATTGAGCGTGCATTTGGGGTATGGCATACGCTTGATAGACATTATTTTAGTCTCGATTGTTGCAGACTTTAAATTGCTCATTTCGTGTATAGCGAGTCGGGTTGATTTGTATGAGATGATTGATTGTATGTCTATTTCCAGGGCTCACAATCGGATCTCTAATAATTATCTGGATGTTATCTTGTATCTCGATTGGATGTTATTTTGTATCTTTTCTTGATTTTAATATACAAGATGATCTTTTATATTCAAAACAATTATAATAAAATTATATTTCTCTAATGCATAAAATTATGAAAATCCTACGTGATTATATTGGTGGTTGGTGTATTATAGGGAAAAGATGATTTGAAGCAATTTTTATAGTAAAATTTTAATTTAATTTTCTATATTTCCTAGAACCATCCATAAAACTGATTTTCTAAAATCATAGAGAATCGATTTTTCAAAAAAAAAAACAGAGAATCGTTCTCTCAAAAACAAAACCCCATAGACAATCGCTCTCAAACAAAAAAGGGAAAAATACCAAATCAGCCTTAGAAGTAACATATCAAGAGTGTAGATCACCCCCTCGATTACAAAAAAGTGCATTCAGGACCTCTAACTCGGTGATATAGTGCAAATCACCCCTTAAAGTAAAAAAAGCTGCAACGAAATTCTCCATCTCGACAATATAGTGCAAATGACTTCCCTAAACGGTAATTTACCGATTAAAGCTGATGTATGTCATTTATTAAAAAACAGTAAATTATCTTTATCGGATCAAATTACCTTAGTTTCCTATTTCAATATTAATAAAGTTCCCCATTTAATCAAGAAAGCTTTAATTACTGACTCTATGGGGTTACCTTATTTTTGTAGAATTTCAAGATAATTGTTTATTAGTTTTTTATTGGGTCAAGTCCATTCCCCCCAATTTCTGTGTTTTTTCATGTATTTTGTGAAGGTCTTCATTGAAGAGGTTTCGGTCTGATCTTCATTTTCTTGTGTATTTTTTCTCACATTAATAGAATATGGTAAATGTTTCCCGACATTTACCCACTTTAAGGTGATTTGCCTACCGGGTTAAAAAAACGGTGAATTATCAAATGATTCTTCTACTATTTTCAATTCATCACTTAAGCTTTTCTACTAAAAAATACTACCTCCGTCCCTAAATGTTCTTCCAAAATAAAGTGACACGCTGATTAAGAAAGTGAGAATTATGTGGTGGAGAGTTGTGCAGAGAAGAGAGAAATGTTGTGAACCACAAATTCTTTGCCAAAAAGGGAAAGTGAAACTTTTTTTGGGACGGACGAAAAGGAAAAGTTGGAAGTTCTTTTAGGGACGAAGAGAGTAGTATATAAGTATGCTTACTTTAAAAAACAATCAATTAAGCCATTTTGAGTTCTTGTAGGAGGTTATTTTAAAAAAACTAAATTAGGGATATTGATAAATCTTATAAAATTCATATAAATTTTAAAAATAACGATATAATAATATAAAAATAGTACAAAATGTAAAAGTAGATATAAACAATTTTTAATATAAAAAACATGCTATTAGAGTTTAAAAACTAATTATATGGTCAAATTGGTCATTTTTTAAAAGTAAGCATACTTATATGATGCCATTTTTTGAATTGACTTGTAAAATTACAAAATATTTAAACAACAATAGAGAGTGGTTACATAAATCTCGTAGGATGTTTTTACTTGGACGGTTTTCAGTCCGAGATCAAGCTTTAACAGACTAGCTCAAGCTTAAACATATCAGACTAGACCGAACTTCCATAGTTATAAAATACCAAGAGATCAACGTTTACCAAACAAGATAAGACCAGTTCGGACCAAACCAGCAAATTTCAATTCAATTAATAATATCATTAGTCTTCGAAACTCCCGCTTCCTTGGTCGATAGTCGTTTCCTTCATGAAGTGGCGGGGCTGTGCTATATTTAGTTTTTCAGTTCGCCGACAGGTCTTGAGTCATTCGTGGAAACACACGACCATCTCATGAGATTGCATGCTCAACCTCAGGGGCGTCTAATGAGTTTGGAGGCCCCGATTTTAAATGTAAAATCGAGGCCCCATGTTAATAAAAAAATTAAAACATTTAATATTTTTTCTAAAGCTTGTTTAAAAATTTGAATGCTCATTAAAAAATTTGCATTGTTTGATACTGTTTTGTATAGATTTGTTTACCAAATAAGGAAAATTTCAAAGTAGGACAATTATTTCGGGACGGACCGAAAAGGATAGCAGGACAATTATTTCGGGACGGAGGGAGTAATAGTTTTTTTCTTCTAAAACTTACTTAATACTTGATTTAAAGCAACACAACTCATTATTTAAGCAATTTGAATAAAAGAGAACTAAAATGACCAATGGAAAATGACGGATCTATATTTTTCTTCATTACTACCTATATTTTAATTTTAATATATAATATTACTATATAATACTAGTAAAATTTTAAAAAACTGGGGCCCCATTGATTGAGGGACCCTGTTCTAAATAACCTAATTAACCCCCTAAAAAATGCCCCTGCTCAAACTCAACTCATTTTATAAGCAGTCAATAAAAAGTTTAAATGAGATATTTTGAGATGAATTAATGAATCTTATGTGACATAATTTTTTAATAAATGGTGCACATCAACTTGAATGGGTAATTACAGTTGAGTTTACCCACACGGGTAACTCAGTTGGTCGAGTGGTGGGAAAATTGGACCAAGTGACCAATGTTCGAAACCCGCAGCGGCCGTGTGGAGTTTACAGAACCTGAAATAAGGCTGGACATCTAGTGCGCACGTGTATAAGACCTACCGCCGCTTTACTGAATGAGTCACCGTAATTAACCTCCACACCATCCTGTCGGGTCGGGTTGGACATTTCTGAGAAAAGTCATTTGCACGCACTATATCACCGAGTTGGATATTGTACTTTTTTACCGTTTAGGAGGGTGATTGCAATCATTGCATTATCTTGTTAGTTCGACAGATGATTTGGCACTTTTCCATTAAAAAAACCCAGAGAATCGCCACTGGAGCGGAACGGTCATCGTCTCTCCTTTAGCAGAATCGGCACGGCTGCACTGTCCTAATACTACACTGGTAAAAGCTCAGCCGCATCTTTCTTTGTTTCAGTGCAGTCCGATGGTTATCTTAAAATGAAAAAGGAGTATCTGTATTGTTTTGTCCAGTGAAAGCTCTAGCTATCATTATGATGGCCTCCATTTGTTTTGTTTTTATGAATCAATGAGTCAAGTTATTGCCTAGTAATAGTAGTTAATACTGAGTAGTACATAGGGGAGGGAATAAGCTGAATATAACTAAAAATCTCAAACACTTTTGGGCGCCGTTTTCGTCCAATTTGGCGGTCTAAAAGACATTCAGCTTGTGTTACCTTCCGAACCTTCATTTTGAAGTTTTGACAGGTTTTCGTATAATGGACGAAATCTATTTCCAGATCATGCATGTGTATTTCAATAATTGTGATGGATCCCATTCATTCTGCTTTTATGTAATTATTATTATTTATAACAAAATAGGCCGTCCCTGAAAGTCCTAGATGATTTTGTAGGTTCGTGGTGATGGGGAGCTTGAATGATGAGAAACTCAGATTTTGCATTGACAGAGGGGGCACGTTCACTGATGTTTATGCTGAGATTCCTGGACAGCCTGAAGGCCGTGTAATGAAACTACTATCTGTAGATCCTTCCAACTATGATGATGCTCCTGTAGAAGGAATCAGGAGGGTGTTGGAGGAATTTACCGGGAAGAAGATTCCCCGCAGCTCAAAAATCCCTACAGACAAAATAGAATGGATAAGGATGGGTACAACTGTGGCTACCAATGCTTTGCTAGAGAGACAAGGGGAGAGGATTGCACTCTGTGTGACTAGAGGCTTCAAAGATTTGCTACAAATTGGTAACCAGTCCCGTCCAAATATTTTTGACCTAACTGTATCTAAACCTTCTAATCTTTACGAGGAGGTTGTAGAGGTTGATGAGAGGGTAGAGTTCGTCCATGATAAAGATGAATTGGATTCAGACTGTTCTGCCTCAATATTTCAGGGTGTTTCAGGTGAACACGTAAGAGTTGTGAAGCCTCTAAATGAAGGAACTCTAAAACCTTTGCTCAGAGCTCTGCTCGAAAAAGGTATCAGTTGCTTAGCTGTTGTTTTGATGCATTCCTATACTTACCCAAAGCATGAGATACTAGTTGAAAAACTAGCTTTGAGTTTGGGCTTCAGACATGTATCATTATCATCAGCTCTGACTCCTATGGTTCGCGCTGTACCCCGAGGATTCACGGCAAGTGTTGATGCATACTTGACTCCAGTCATTAAGGAATATTTATGTGGGTTCATGTCTAAGTTTGATGGACTAGAGAAGTTAAATGTCTTATTTATGCAATCAGATGGAGGGTTAGCACCTGAGAGAAGATTTTCTGGCCACAAAGCGATTTTGTCTGGTCCCGCAGGTGGTGTAGTTGGTTACTCGCAGACGCTTTTTGGAATTGAGACAAACAAGGCCCTCATAGGTTTTGACATGGGCGGCACTTCTACCGATGTTAGTAGGTATGCAGGTAGCTATGAACAAGTCATTGAAACACAGATTGCTGGCACGATCATTCAGGCACCTCAGCTTGACATAAATACTGTAGCAGCTGGTGGTGGCTCAAAGTTAAAGTTTCAGTTCGGATGTTTTCGAGTGGGACCAGAATCTGTAGGTGCTCACCCAGGACCAGTTTGTTATCGGAAAGGGGGGCAGTTATCTGTCACAGATGCAAATCTCATTCTGGGGCTTATACTTCCTGAATACTTTCCTTCTATTTTTGGTCCAAACGAAGACCAGCCGCTTGACATTGATGCTACAAGAAAAGAGTTTGTGAAACTTGCGAAGGATATAAACTCCTATAGAAAGATGCAGGACCCCTGTGCAAAAGACATGACTGTGGAGGAGATTGCACAGGGGTTTGTGAATGTAGCCAATGAAACCATGTGTCGTCCAATAAGGCAATTGACTGAGATGAAAGGACACGAGACAAGGAACCACGCTCTTGCTTGCTTTGGAGGTGCGGGACCTCAACATGCCTGTGCCATCGCTAGATCATTGGGTATGAATGAAATCCTAATTCATAGGTTCTGTGGAATTTTGAGTGCTTATGGTATGGGAATGTCAGATGTGGTTGAAGAGGCCCAAGAACCATATTCTGCTGTTTATGGCCCTGAATCTGTGCTTGAGGCGTCTCGCAGAGAAGCTGCTTTGCTGAAGCAGGTGAAGGACAATCTGCAACATCAAGGGTTCAGAGAGGAAAATATCACCACCGAGACGTACTTAAATCTAAGGTATGAGGGAACCGACACGGCAATCATGGTGAAAAGACCTGTTGGTGATGATTATGCCCATGAGTTTGTCAAACTATTCAAAGGTGAATATGGATTTGAACTCGTTAACAGACATATACTTGTATGTGATGTAAGGGTTCGTGGTATTGGTGGCACTAATATATTGAGGTCACGTGCATTAGAGCCTGCCTCGTCCATCCCTAAAGTTGAAACTCATCACAAGGTATATTTTGGGGATAAATGGCGTGAAACTCCTTTATTCAAGCTTGAGGGCCTGGCACATGGCCATGTTATTCAGGGACCAGCCATTGTAATGAATGGTAATAGCACTGTGATAGTAGAACCCAACAGTAAATCAATCATCACCAAATATGGCAACATCAGAATAGAAATTGAGTCAACTTCAGACTCATTGAAAGTGGAGGGAAAGGTGGCAGATGTTGTCCAGCTGTCAATCTTCAACAACAGGTTTATGGGGATTGCTGAACAGATGGGTCGCACCCTGCAGAGAACATCCATATCCACGAATATCAAGGAAAGGCTAGATTTCTCATGTGCTCTCTTTGGGCCAGATGGAGGCTTGGTGGCAAATGCACCCCATGTTCCTGTTCACTTGGGGGCAATGTCTAGCACAATCCGGTGGCAGTTGCAATACTGGGGTGACAATCTGTATGAAGGAGATGTTTTGGTCACCAATCATCCTTCCTCTGGAGGAAGCCATCTGCCTGATATTACTGTCATAACGCCTGTTTTTAACAAAGGCGAATTGATATTCTTTGTAGCAAGTAGAGGGCATCATGCGGAGATCGGAGGTATTACTCCTGGAAGTATGCCACCCTTCTCGAAATTCATATGGGAGGAAGGAGCTGCAATAAAGGCCTTCAAGCTCGTAGAGAAGGGTGTTTTTCAGGAAGAAGGAATCACACGCCTTCTTCGTTTCCCAACTTCTGATGGACCACTGCATAAAATTCCAGGAACCCGTAGGCTTCAAGACAACTTATCAGATCTTCATGCACAAGTTGCTGCAAATCAGAGAGGGATTGCCCTTATAAAGGAGCTTATTGATCAGTACGGCCTGGAGACTGTCCAAGCATACATGAATCATGTGCAGGCAAATGCAGAAGGAGCAGTCCGTGAGATGCTCAAATCTGTTGCTGCTGACATGTCAGTATCCACTAGGGAAGGTGGAGGTTTGGTCACCATTGAAGAGGAAGATTACATGGATGATGGATCTACCATAAACTTAAAACTCACTATTGATCCCGAAAAAGGAGAAGCTCTCTTCGATTTTTCAGGGACCACTCCTGAAGTTTATGGCAACTGGAATGCTCCAGAAGCTGTGACTGCTGCAGCCGTCATTTATTGTGTAAGATGTTTGGTGAATGTTGATATCCCTCTTAACCAAGGGTGCTTGGCTCCTGTGAAGATATATATACCTCCAGGTTCATTTCTCTCACCCAGTGATGGGTCTGCTGTTGTGGGTGGTAATGTGCTCACGTCTCAGAGAATAACCGATGTCATCCTCACTGCATTTCAGGCATGTGCCTGTTCCCAGGGCTGCATGAACAATTTGACATTCGGGGATGAGAGTTTTGGATATTATGAAACCATTGGTGGTGGAAGCGGTGCGGGGCCCACGTGGGAAGGCACAAGCGGGGTGCAGTGTCATATGACCAACACCCGTATGACGGATCCCGAAATTTTTGAACAGAGGTACCCTGTTGTATTGCACAGATTTGGGATCAGAGAGGACAGTGGAGGCATTGGACTACACAGAGGGGGTGATGGGCTTATCAGAGAAATTGAATTCAAAAGGCCCGTTGTTGCGAGTATCCTTTCGGAAAGGCGTGTGCACAGTCCAAAGGGATTGAGGGGAGGCCAAAATGGTGCTCGGGGATCCAATTACCTCATTACAAAGGATAATCGTACTGTGTATCTTGGCGGGAAAAACACGGTTGAAGTTCAACCTGGACAAATCCTTCGCATTTTGACCCCAGGAGGTGGTGGCTGGGGTTCAATTTAATGGTCTACTGAGTGAATTTTATGGAAATCCCATTTATGATCTCTGTTTTACTTTGAATGCCCTGATTTGCTTATCCAACAAGAGAGGATAGGGAATATCAAATAATGTTGATATAATAAAAAAATGGCCTTGTACCCTTTTCCCATGACATTTCTTTTACTGGACTGGTGGTGATCAAACAGTTTGATATGATAAAAATGTTACTAGGGTCGTATTGTTACTTTTGGTTGTAGTGAAGTGGATGGATGTTATTTTCTCTCTTCAAATTAATGTATGTGTTGTACTTTACACATCTTTTTCAATTTGTATGAATGTTTGATGTATGTATATTTTTGTACGTAGTATAACTGATGGGCTAAAGTATTTCCGATACTACAGAGTGAAATATCCCGACGGCGTAGAGACTGATTGGTTGATGGATATGGAGAAACTTCCTGCACCTCCGGTACATTTCATGGCCTCCCATCTACTACTGTCTATAACATTATGCATTCGAAATCGAATAAATTGGCAAAAAAATCTATTACTTAACCCACTTTTGGCTCTTGATTTTGTTCTTGAGTAAGTGATTTAATCGATCGATTATAGATCGTAATAGTTGGTGGTTCTGGTAAAGAGAAGCTATTTTTCAATTGCAGAACTTTTAACTACTCCCTCCGTCCCCAATAACTTTGCCAAGTTTGACCGTCACGGGAAATAATAAAGTAAAAACTGTGTGGTTGAGTTTTGTGCAGAGGAGAGAGAATGAACTGGAACCACAAATTCTTTACTTAGAAGGAAAAGTGGCAAAGTTAATGGGACATCCAAAAAAGGAAAGTTGTCAAAGTTATAAGGGACGGAGGGAGTATTAGGTAAAGAGACACTTTTGGTCCATTAGCTTTGTAAAATGTAATAGAAAAGTGAAGAAAGTAGTATTTTCATCTCCTCAAAGGCTTAAACATTTTATATTGACTGCCAACAGTCCAACAAACATCATTGAAAGTTTGAAACCACTCACAGAAATTATGCTTCAGTTTATCCTTTCCAATTTCTTTGTTTATATATGCCTCAACTCACAAGGTCTCTTTATCTTTCTCCTTTTTCTCATAGCGGATTGATACTTATGTCAAGTGTATGATACAAGAAGGCTGTTCTGGTTGTAACTGTAAATTGTGTCCTTCCTTCAAACAGAGTTCTTGAAGGAGGAGTTCCTATATATGAGCTCTTGGGTTTACATTTTTCAATATGTAAGTTTGCGAATTGTTTGGTGATAATATGATATAATGCACTCTTGCTTTTTTCTGGTCCAATGGCTGAGCTAGAAGTATAGTATTATGGAGGCCGAATGTTCATGCTTAAGTATATATGTATTGTAGGTTATTACATCTTTGTACCTACCTATATGCATGCATATCTATTTTGGGGGGAGGGGGGCGCCAAGGCCACCCTACCCTCTACCACACCATCTATTTTGGGGGGAGGGGGGCGCAACGAATAAATTCCATAAAATCCATAAGATGTTACTAGATGAAATTACTCCCCCATCTTAAACAGATCCCACATACCGCAATATATGAGGAAAACTGTTCATAAATATTGAGTTTTGGCTCAACTATCCTTCTGATTTCCTCTTTTTATTCACTCAACTCACAGAGTTACAGGGTGTATCATGTTTCCATTTTGTTCTCATAAATGATTAATACTTGCGTCAAATGTGAGTTCTTGAAGCAATGGTTGTGAGCTTTTGGTTCTCTAAATATGTAAAAACTTTAAGGATCCATTGGTTAAAATAATCTTTGTATGTGTATCTAGTGTCTAACTTTGATAATCTTTTCACATTGTTACAATCCTTAATCGAAAGATTGATGGCATCACATTGATGTGCAAGTGTTCTTTCTTATTTTCTTTTTATTACCAATTGCTTCATTAGCTTGTCCCATTATGTATTTGGGTTGACTTACTAAATTTATTTTGTCCCATTACTCTGTCTAATGCACGCTATTGCTTACGTAAGATCAGTGTACTGCATTTCATGAGTAGTAAGGAAGATATTTCATCAATCATGTATTCATCATTGTTCCTTACTTCTGGATTAACAAGCTAGATAATATAACGAGAAATTCAATAAAGTAGAGATTATATTGAGTTTAAAACATTGGCTTCACATGTTTTTGACTTGCATACCAAGAAATTTGTGCCAACTACATATTAACATATGTTTTTTACTCGCTTAGCTTGTTTTGCACGTTTTCGCTGATTACTAAAGATTTCAATTTATATAGCACTGAAATTCAAAATAGGTATTTGTGCTTTATTTCTTTGTTTTCGCATTGTTTGTTCTCTTTGTTAGTTCGGAACCCGTCAGTTCATGTGCCTAGTTTCTCCTCCTCCATGTTTTCTTGTGTCTTTTCTTCTTGAATTCTATTCTCAGTGTTTTCTTCAAAGCACTATTCTTCCTTATTTTGAAGAGCCCCGTGATCCGGCCATCCGGGTGGTTTCCCTCTCGACAATGAAGCTTATCCCCCATGGTCTCGCCGGCCGACCTTGATCCCTGATATTTTGGGGTCATAACTAGTATTCACAGTTTGTCATAACTATAGCGGTCCTAATTAAGGTAGTCATGAAGTTTCTTGTTGGGTTAGTTCTGACCCGCATGAAAGGCGTAAGGATCCGAGTAGTGTCTCGAAGAGAGCCTTGGTGCAATCTCAGGTTTTATTCTTTTATGGGATGATTGTTTTTTGTGTTTTCTATTCTTTTAGACTTCCACAATTTCTGGAGTGTAATAAGTTTGCTGCACATATGCTTACATCAATGCAAAACTAATAGCAGTTTATGTTTTTTGCACTAATTCTTAGAAATTTTATTTTGGAGCAACATAAAGTGTCATCTTTAATGAAGCATAAGGCCAATCTACGTTATGAGCTACACTCTACTTATAAGCGCCATTGTACTTATGCCCAAATGTAAATTTGGAACTATTTGTGTGGAATGATATTTCTATATTCAATCTTGAAGTGTATGTTCGTGCTTAGGATGTTAATCTTCTCTAGATATTCTCGGAACCCAATTGTTATGACTTATGTGTTCCCTGTCCTTTTGTTTAGTCTAGTTATATTTTTTTTTTTATTTGAACATGAGATTGCTTCATATGCCCCCTGTCATTATTTTAAGTCTAAATAAAGTTGTTTTTGGAATTTGGATGGATGGTGCAACAGAGTCATCAGTGGTACTCCTCAGGAAACTCCACTATAGATGACAGGAATCATAAAATGTTAACAAAGATGTGAGTAACCTTCTCATTCAAACCACAATTCCCATTTCCAGGTAATTATTGTTCCTCAAACTTTTACATTCGTTCTGTGTTTGATTTTGTTTATTTCTACTCTTTCTTGCACGTAAAAAATGACTTCATAAAGTTGTTATTTTTACGCAGAAAGACGCTCTGGGTTGTCCATATAGTTCTAGGGTTTCAACAAATTCAGCCAAATCAAAGCACGAATGACAAACTATACAATTCCAGTGAACACAAGCAAGCCTGTTATGTCCTCAAATATATTCCTCCCTGATCACCTTCTCTATTTAAAGAAATAAATTTGTAGCACTCTGTTATATTTGATGAAGCCATGACTCGTCTTACCACATCTGGAAGTACTTAAAGACTGAAAGTGATCAATATTATAAAGCTACTAATGTAGTTACACCTTTTGAGAGACATATTAGAGTTGATGAAGCCAAAACTGTTCTTATATCATATCCTCACAAACAAGGCCATGATAAAGAGGCCAGCCCTAAACTTTTGTAGTCAACAATAATTTGTATATTTTGATGAATTTTTGTTTATTATGTAGTATCTTATAATAATAACCTAACTACTCCCTCCATCCTTTAAAACTTTGCCATCTTTCCTTTTTGGGACGTCCCCAAAAACTTTGCCACTTTCCCTTTTAATCAATTATTTTGTGGTTTCAATTATTTCTCTCTTCTCTGCACAAACCTCAATCACACAGTTTTTACTTTATTATTCTACGTGTCGATCAACTTTGACAAAGTTTTAAGGGACGGAGGTAATATATTTTATGTTTTACAGGGGTTGATGTTAGGATTGACTGGGTGGAAATGATTTGAACATGTTTCCCCAAGGAATTGCTCCTGTAGCGAGTAGATGAATTTTGTAGAACTTATTTCAATGTTAATTTAGAGGTTGAAAAACTATAGATCTTGTTATTATTTTGTAAACTTTGATTACCGTCAGAAGAAAATAAAATTATTATTTCATTTGCAATCTTATATTTTGAGTTTTCATTTCCAATAATGATGTTGTGGGTGCATTTAATTTATCCATTTTCATTTGCATCATTTAGAATTTGGGTACCAAAGCATAATTTAGCCGCACAAAATATTAAAGGAAAAAATAAAGCATCGTTGCACAAAAGATAAACTATGCGTACGATTGGGTACAAAAGCTTTGGCTTGGGCAACGGATTTCTACATTCATTTCACTAGGTAGTCACATGGGCTATAAATTATATTTGTATTACACAATGAGTACCCATTGATGACGAAGTTAGTCGTTGCCCAAATAATGTAATGGGCAATGACAATTGAGTTTGTTGCCCAAATTAACATGTGCCACCATGATGAATCCATTTTTGTTGTAAACATATTTGGGCAACGAAAATAGGACATTGGGACACTTTTTTTTTTTATCGCCCAAACTACTTTTTTTTTGTAGTGTTGCTACCAAGAAATATCCCACATTCGCCTTATATATACTCCGTACATCTTTACTACTTTAGTTACTACATAATCATATTCCATTAGTGACAGTCGCCGCCACCACTATTATCGTCATTGTCTCTAACTTTAAGGTTACAAATCCATTAGTGACTCTGTGCAAGTCGATGTTGTCAATATTCCACTTGTACCGCCGCACACCATTACTAACAATAAGGCCACATATCCATTAGTAATGCTTAGGAACTTAGGTTTGGAGGTAGACGTCTCTCACACACGCACGCACATATCCCGATTTTCTAATTATTACCATGTATCATACATTTGGATTATGATGAATGCTAGAGTCAGCGCATTATGTACCCCATCCTATGTTTGTGGCTCACAAAAATCCAATCCAATTAAATTAATTGCTCCATTTTAATGAAGTGCACTTGTGAGCCACACAACATAGGGGAGGTACAAAATGAGGTACAAAATGGGGTAGTTTTGGCATTTGTGTTTGGATCATAGATCCCATCTCCACCTCGATGGAGCTAGACACACGGGTATATATTATACTCCGTAGACATTACCATTTACGAATGGGTTTTAGAAACTATTTCCATCCAAAAATAACGGGTCCATCAAATGCTTTGGTGTGGTCTAAGGATGTTTTTTGTTTTATTTTTGAATAGAAGTTTGCTGGTTTAGTTTGATCCGGTCTGACCTGATCTAATCTAGTTTATTTAAAAATTCTGGTCTAGTCTGAACTGGTCTGATCTGGTAAATTTGTGTGTTTTATAACTGTCCAGGTTGAGTCTGGTTTGCTGTGATCTATTTAAGTCTAATTTGATCTTGTCTGATCTGGTCTAGTTCGGGTCTGAAAACGGTCCAAAAGAAAACATCCTAACTAAAAGCATGAAATAAAGAGTAATTTTGTTTGTTTTTCAGCGTCTTCAAAAGAAAGCATATGCCGACTTGCAAGATGTCGTAAATTCTCAATGTTCAACCATTTGTCTATTTAACTAAAATCTATTTTTATGAGGGGTGTACAACTTTTTGTCAGGGCACACTGTTTTTCATTGAGGGCATTGATTTAACTATGACTAAACTACTATTTATATTTTTAGTAATAATATTCCAAGTTTATTGGGGCACGCCTCCCTATACCATATGTGCATCCGCCCTGCAAGGTGAGAGTGTGAAAACGTTACTAATATCAGTTGGGCTGTGCTTGGTGTACACATTTTGGTGTATACATTTTGTACATTTGTCTGTCTTACGCACAAAGAGTTATCTGTGCACAGACAATCCTACAGAATTACAAACAATTCTTTGTGCGTAAGATAGACAAATACTCCCTCCGTCCCATATTTAACTTCGATTTTGACCGGGCACGAGTTTTAAGATAGTGGAATTTGTGTGGTGGAGAGTTATGCAGAGGAGAGAGAAATGTGTAAGAATGGTTGTGAACCACATATTCTTTACCAAAAAGGGAAAAAGGAGATAAATTTGGGACGGACCGAAAAGGAAAGAATGAAGATAATTCCGGGACGGAGGGAGTACTACGTATACAAAATGTGTACATGCACCAAATATTTTTCAATACCGATGGTCTAGGGAGAAGAGGTATGTTTTGGTGTCATTACGGCTGGATTTGAAATGAAAGACGACATTGTTCCTTTTGTTCTTCGAAAGAGTGGGGACGGAAATTTTGAGTTCAGAAACAAGTTGTCATTTGCATCGATCGGTTGCCGGTTTAAAACGTGATGAAACAGTAGTCAATGATAGAGTAGGATCGGGGTGTTGAACGTAGAGTGGGATAGTCACTAGTAAAATTTTTGTCATTTAACAATAGTATAGTGAATATGGTACTAAGTGAGGGTAATTAAGTCACTAAATGTAGCAATAGAAATGAATGTCGTTAAAATTTTGGGCATGTATGATATGGGTTTAGTGACTAGTAATAGTGATAATTTGCATGTTGGTCACTGTGCGATTTTAAATTTTTAGATTTTTTTGGAAGAATGTGGATTATATTAAAACAACAGAACTTAAGCAAGTTACAAAACGATAAAAAGTCTTCTGTCTATCGTCTGCCCTCAAACCAAACTTAGAATCTATTACCTCCATAGAAGCAATAAGATTCGTTGATCTTATAATGGGCTTAAACTGAACCAATGACAGACAAACCAGGCTTCTAATCACCTGACTTAAATACTAGAATCTTTATGCTAGGAAATAAAACACACCCAAAACAAGATGTAGTATGAAAGAAAAACACAAAGAAAATAAAAATGAATTAAAACAGAATTCACTCTTCTTCCAAATCCTGGACTCTTTTGCACTCCATGGCGGTTGCTCTGGAGAGGGACAAGCCCCCGGAAACGTCTGCTCCATGCGGTCAGCAGCGTCCTCCTCATCGAACACCAGTTCGTCGCCCTCAGTTCTGATCTCCCAACTGTCGCACTGTCCGATCAACTTTTTCAAACTATCTTGTGAAGGGTCTACATCATCCCCAACCCCCATCAAACCACGACCCGCCTGCCCTGGCCATGTTCGCGATCTCCGTCATATAGGCGCTGCGAGGGCTGCCGAAGAAGAAAGTCGCACAAAAATGGCGGAAGAAAACCCTAGTTACGGACACGACCGCCTCTATGGAATCCTCAAGTTGGAATAACGATGCAGTAGTCAATCCATTTTTAAATTTTTAGTTAAAGAGCGTAGTATATAATTAATGAAAGCCATAAACCATTAAGCTTTTCTTATACTTCGTATACAACATACATAGTACTCCGTATATCATACATACTCCGTACAAGCTTAACGGTTTATGACTTTAATTAATTATTTTCCGGCATTTGTTTGGAGGGCCAATGAATTAGTATATGAATGCCTTGGGGAGGAGCTACAATATAAGCTCGAGATGTTAGCTTATACTGCCTCCTTTTCAATTAAATTCTAATCTCTCTTTTTGAAGTATAGGTTTTCAATTCTCTTTTTGATAACATTTGAAATGTCCCATTGCGATACCTTTTTAATTAATAAAAAAGGAAAAAGGGGAAAAAGGAAAGGTGTTTTTATGATTATTAGTAAATAGAGTTTTTTTTTTCCAAAAACTAAATAGAGGTTAAAAAGACAAAAAATGACTTTAAAACTATTTTCCCAAAATGTGACTAATGTAGGGTGGTGTGGGTTTACAAAGAAAAACCACCATGTTGCTATGCATTTAATGGACAACATGAAGTGTAACTAACTAAAAGTGTGATATGAGGAGAATTTCAATTATTTTAAAGATTTGTGTTATGAACCTTCAAATCAACAATGAGTTAAAGATGAGACTGTATTTTTTGGACGATAAAGAGGACCGGTTCAAAAAGAGAGGAGGTGCAGTGACTAATACCGTTAATTGATAAGTCACTCATCATCATTAGTGCCGCAAAGCCTCCCCACCTACGGTGGAATGAGGCAGGTCGGATGTACGCAATTTTACTCCTGTACTGAAGCACAGAGAAACTATTTTCGAATGACTCATAGTGAAAATCGTGTCGGAAATTGTATGAAGTGACTGCTACTTCATAACAAAGAAGAACAAACAATCTAGTGGGTCATTTTTCTTTATTTCATCATATTTTCAAGCCAAAATAGTGAGTGTCTGTTTACTAACCGAGATATTTTCCTGTTTTCTACTTCTGTTTTTCGTTCTCTTCAATTTTCTGTTTTTATTTTTCAGTATTTCTATCTCCAATTTTATTTTCTATTTTCTAGTTTTTCATTTTCAAATCTGAAAACATGTTCATCAATTTTTTCACCCAGTTCTGTGATCATCGAGAAGATTGACACGTTTACTTCACAGGTTACTAAATGATGCTTATTAAGACTCGCGTTAATAAGTGACACATAAAATAAGCAATGTTATAAGATCATGTTTACTTCAAAAGATTTCAAACACCGTTTAACAATAAAATGTCCAAAATAACCTTATACATATATAGACACACAAATATTCATGAACACAAATATATAATATAATATGTGGGGTCGATCACCTCGTACGTGTACCCATACTCCTAACCCTTACCCTGCCTCTATACCTCGTACCCTCACCCTACACCCTACACCCAATTTCACACCCTTAACCCCTACCCATACTCTTACCATGATCTTACACTCTACCCATACTCCCCTAAACCCTTTTATACCCACCCATACCTACTCGTAGGGGTCGGGGTAGGGAAGGAAGGTATGGGTTGGGGGTGGGTGGAGGTGAGTGGGGGTGGGGTAAGGGGTATGGTCGGGGTGGGGTGGTAAGGTATAGGGGTACAATGTTGGGTGGGGTAGTGGGTGGGTTAGGGTGGTGGTTGGGGGTAAGGGTGGGGGTAGTGAGTAGTGTTGGGGTTGGGGTAAGGTAGGTGTAGGGTAGGGAGTTAGGATAGGATGGCGGTAGGGTGGGGCTGGGATCAGGGTGGGCCCGAGGTATAGGAAGGGGTAGGATGGTGGTGGGGGTAGGATGGCAGTAGGGTGGGGGTAGGATGGCGGTAGGGTGGGGCCGAGGTAGGGGGCATGTGGA